TGCTTCATTTTTCATGTCTATTTACTCAACAACAGTGAGTGAGTGGAACAAACGAACCTGATAGTCCTTTGGCTCAGCTGTAAATGCAGAATCAAACTTTCAGTTTTTCCAAACCTTTGGTTGGTTCTCCTTTGAATAGAAACTCTAAAAGGACTTTATTTTTTAATAACTAATATAAAAAAAAAATCATGCTATCACTGTCTGTATGAAAAATATTACAGTGTAATAATTAACCAAAGCATATTAACAAACTCGGAAAAAATCTAATTTTTTTGGCAAAACATAACCAATAATTACTTAATTCAGCAAAGCTTTTACTGGTGTAGATCCTAAATTCAGCTAAATAAAAAAATGTCATTGTTATTATTTGTATTGAAATAAGCTGTATTCATTAGTTATATGATGATAAACCCACTTTTCCACATGATAACTTTTTGCCCTCCATTACTCTGGCGTATTTTACTCTCGTTGCTAACGTGCCAAGTTGCTTTTTTAAAGATCATTTATCAAATGTTGATGATGAAACAAAGTCTTTCGTTCATGTATCTGAGCTCATTACCGTACTTCTGATAAGCTATCAGGAAAGATAGTAGTTGATAAAGAAGGCTGTAAACTATTGCCGATATGACTTGTAGTGAATTGTCAGGCTTTTGGATGATTCAGTGCTTTTAGTAATCCTAATAATCTTCTCATTGTTTCTTCTTAGCTTTACCTTCTGGGTTGGGGCATTTATTGACTTTGAAATAGATAAAAGTTTAAAAGGATAGTGACCCTGGCACGTAATCTTGTAATAAAATGTGCTATAGTATCTAAATTTAAAACCACAATGTCACTTCAAATCTCAGAAATGTTTCTGCGTATTTTATTCTTTTGTTATTATCTGACTTAAAGTAAATTAATCAAGTTCAAGCTGTGTAGTTATGCATTTATTTTTTCATCACGCAGCCCAAACATTATGGTGGTTCATGTTGTCTATAACCTCACCTGGTTGTGCTTGAAGTTTCAGCAATATCCAGAGTTATAGTGATGTTTTATACTTTTATAACAGTTTTGTCTATTGAAATTTAGGCTGCTGAATATGCATTAAATGTTTTACTGGCTGTAAAATGTGACAGTGTTTTAAATTTGAAAAAGTCCCGGATAAAATAAAATGACATAAAATAAGATAAAACAAGATGAGAAATAACCTAAATTTAACACATTCCCAGGCTGAGGCTATTATCGGGTATTCTGAAAATGTCCAAAGGTGGCAGCCTGGGAAGTTGATGGAAAGGTCTGCATAGTTATGCCAGCACAGTTCTTTGTACTGCAGACCAGCCTGTTGGACCCCTTGTCCTTACATATATCGGTGGCCATTTATGTAGGTGATCCAGTGTCCACTGGGGTGGATGCTCGGCCACTCCAGCTTGTCCCCATGACGTGTGGTTTGCTTTGTATTCAAAGCAATGAAATTGAAATTTAAACTCCTAACTCATTTAGATCATGTCGAAATGATCATGTTTGGCTTATTTAGGACTTCCTTATGATGCTCCATGAATCTTTAAGATAAACTTCAGGATTAGAATTTATTTAACTCTTTTGGAGGAATTAGATAAATAACTGTAGCTAATCCTTGCATGCCTGTAGCCATGTACAACAGCTGCAGTTCCTCAAGGATTAAGTTAATAAAAAATAGGCCAAAGTGTTGGGATCCAGCCATAAATATTGAAGCTGTTATCAATAAAGAAACAATAGTTTTTCATCAGCTCTTTAAAGGTTTTTAAAACACAATGGTGAAGGCATGTCCTGTTTTTTCGACATCTTCCATTTAAAATCAAAATAGACCCCCTTATCTTTATCAAAAGAATAATTGAAGTTTGCTTTCACTTTTCTGTATTGCACGTTTTACTTTTTCTTTAAGACTAGTCATAACAATGATGCCATATTAGTTTGGATTGCCTAAGATTTGTGTCTTCCTCTGATAAATGATATTCGGGATAAATCATGTTAAAAACAATGTGCAGACTTCATGTGCCTTGTTGTAACGGTTGCTAGGTAAACAAAATTACGCTGAGGTGAGAGCGCCGGACTGCTGCTGAAGGTTAGACTGTTCCAATTCGCAGACTATTACTTCCAGTCTCCATGTTTTTTGAGGTCTTTTAAGGACCCAATCGGCTTCTACTGTGTCCTTTGAAGGATGCAGCCCCTAATTTGGGATACCCCATATTATCTGATCTTTTTCATTATGTTTCTTAAATGTATTGTTGAGAAAGACAGACCAATAAAGGGGTGCTGTGTTATGCATTAATGTGAAGAGTACCACACGTTACCAGCTTTTTTCATACAGCACTTACAACATCCACAAGACCAAGGTTTTGTACACAAAGTAAAAACATCTTACATTAAACCAACATTAAAATCAAAAAGATCTGAAATAATAAAGCATCAAAGCACCAAAAAAGGATAATAGAATCAATAAAATAAAGAAAGATAGAAATAAATAGTGTGAAAGTTAATAACCGGTAGTAAAACCATTTAAATAAGTTGGAAAGTCAACTTCTAAGGTGTTGCTAAAGGCCAGGGAAAACATATGGGTAAAAAAAGGGGACTGAACATGAGAAAGTGAGGAGGCCTCCTCCTCGGCCTTATGACGAATTGAAAGGGCCTCCTCAACTTAGGAACTGCTGCTGCAACGCCAAGGTCTCCCTTGAGCTTGCATTTTGTCTTTGGGATGCTCAGAGGCAACCTTTTGGCTGCCCTGAGGGAACCAGAGTGTTTGTAGGGATTTAGGTTTAGTTCTTGCACAATTTGGAGGTGTGGTTAGGGTCATTGTCCTGTTGTAGGATGAAATTGGCTCCAATCAAGCGCTGTCCACTGGGTATGGCATGGCGTCGCAAAATGGAGTGATAGCCTTCTTTATTCAGAATCCCTTTTACCCTGTACAAATCTCCCAACTTACCAGCACCAAAGCAGACCCAGACCATCACATTACCTCCACCATGCTTAACAGATGGCGTCAGGCATTCTTCCAGCATCTTTTCATTTGTTCTGCGTCTCACAAACGTTCTTCTTTGTGATCCAAATACCTCAAACTTGGATTCATCCGTCCACAACACTTTGTTCCAGTTTTCCTCTATCCAATGTCTGTGTTCTTTTGCCCATCTTAATCTTTTTCTTTTATTGGCCAGTCTCAGATATGTTTTTTTCTTTGCCACTCCGCCCTGAAGCCCAGAATCACGCAGCCGCCTCAACACTGTAGATGTTGACACTGGTGTTTTGCGGGTACTATTTAATGAAGATGCCAGTTGGGGACCTGTGAGGCGTCTGTTTCTCAAACTAGAGACTCTAATGTACTTATATTCTTGCTCAGTTGTGCAACACGGCCTCCCACTTCTTTTTCTACTCTGATTAGAGCCTGTTTGTGCTGTCCTCTGAAGGGAGTAGTACACACCGCTGTGAGAAATCTTCAATTTCTTAGCAATTTCTCGCATGGAATAGCCTTCATTTCTAAGAACAAGAATAGACTGTCGAGTTTCAGATGAAAGTTCTCCTTTTGTGGCCATTTTGACGAAGGTCAGTTTTGTAGCTTCTGTAACCAGCTAAACTGTTTTCAGATGTGTGAACATGATTGCACAAGTGTTTTCTAATCATCTATTAGCCTTCTGAGCCAATGAGCAAACACATTGTACCATTAGAACACTGGAGTGATAGTTGCTGGAAATGGGCCTCTACTGTATACACCTATGTATAGGTCTATATCTATTGCACCAAAAACCAGACATTTGCAGCTAGAATAGTCATTTACCACATTAGCAATGTATAGAGTGTATTTCTTTAAAGTTAAGACTACTTTAAAGTAATCTTCATTGAAAAGTATAGTGCTTTTCCTTAAAAAATAAGGACATTTCAATGTAACCCCAAACTCTTGAACAGTAGTGTATAGGAAAATAAAACAGAATCAAAGCAAGTAGGAAAAAAAAAAAAGCAGCTCAGATGGGCAGGGGGGACTAGGGTCAGGAGGAGGCTATTAAGAGGTTTAAAAGCTTGTTAAGGGATTTTAAAAGAACACTAAAATATATAGGCAACTAATGCACTTGTACTCATACTGGTACTCTCCATTTTCCTCTTACGTGGGACATAGCAGTATCAGCAGAGATGCCCAGATTCCCCCGTGCCACAGACATCTCCACCAGCTCCTCTAGGAAGCCTGAGGCAGTCCAGTGGCAACCAGGGGACAGGTCTCCCCAGCTTGTCCTGGGGCACATTCTGACCAATCTGCCGGAAAACCCTCAGGAGAGAGGCCTTCAGAGGGCATCCAAATAGATGCCTGAGCCACCTTGGGCATCTGCATGTGTTGGAGAAACTCTTGACTGCCCCAGTACATAATGCAGGTCTTGGCTGGAGGGAACCAGCAGAATCATTTGAGAAGAGCAGAGACTAAATTCACTGGTCCCCAAACAATACCATCTCTTGCCTTTGGCTGCACAGACAGATCCTGTGTATGAAGGTTATAAATAGGACCAGACACAGACGGCAGCCCTGCCAGATGCAAATATACACTGGGAACAGGATCTAAACTTATTTTAGACAGGATTCCTACTCTGCCTGTGCAGAGGTTGATTTGCCATTAGTAAAGGTCCGCAGATCCATACACCTGAAGTGCCTCCACAGGATACTACTAAGGACATGGGTGAATAAACTCTCCAGGTTCACAAAGTATTTGCGGCCTTGTTGCACTAACAGACATGAAACCTCAAGCATCATGCAGAGTGTGTAGAGCTGTTCCAGTCTGTCATGACAGGGACTGAAACCATGAAAGCTGACTTTCCTTCCAAGGGAAACTGAGAAATTATGTTGTGGTTAGAATAAATCCTATGGTTCCCCTTTTTGTGAAAGGGGAACCATAGGATTCTAACTCACACCACTATCAGTTACTGTTGATATTAAACAGGCTTTCCAGCACAACAACACACAGAGACATTGTGCAGATCTCATCCACCCTGAAGCCTTGCAACTCTTTTGACCATTTGGACGCCTGAGTGATGAACAAATCCTGCTTCCAGCATCCAGTCTTTGCTTCAACCAAGAAAACTTTGACAGGAGATCCTCAAAGTATTCCTTCTACTATCCGACATTGTCCTTCGTCAAGGTCAGCAGCTCACCTTTTCCACTGTAGATACTTTATTGTTCCAAGAGATAAATAAATCACTGACTCATTGCTAGATTGCACTACAGTAAACCAACCAAGTGGTAACAAAGGCATAAATTACTGTTTCAAAGTACGGCTAAGAAAAAATAGTGTTAATCTTAATTAGTAAAAACTTGGCTGGACGATGGCTTTGATACGGTTTTCTAGATTCAGTCTAGAATTGATTTTGACCGCTGACTTCACAGCAACTGGCCTTAGGGTTGTCAATTGGCCTATCCAGGCTTTTATGTCTTCAAAGCACAACAAACAAGGAGGGGTACATTTCTTAGAAAACTGTGAAGTTCTGTCAATAAAAGTGAGACATTATAAAAGATAAGGAACAGCCTGCCGTGCAGCATGTGAAACAGGGTTTGTCCTCTTCCATAGGTTTTTCCAAGGCTTGTTCTCAACACAGAAATTTATGTCTGTCTCTCCATCAATATATGCCCCACAAGGACAGCAGAGCTCATTGCACAGGGTAGAATTGAAATAACCCCTCAGAGCATCATCTGTTTCTTAAGACCATTTCCTCATATTGTAATTAATGACTGGTTCACTTGGTACGAGTTGATTATTTACACACCACGATAACACCTCAGCTCCGCAGAGGAGAAAAGGGTAATGAACTGAATGCTTTTCTTGCAATTTTCTTATAGCAAGTTCAGTGTTTGCTTCTCTAGTGATGCATAAATCACACTGACTCAAGGTCGGTAGGCATGAATAAAGTCCCCCGAGGTTAGAAGAAGGGCCTCAGGTTGCTATGAATGCACTGTAGTCATGGGGGTAGTTTTGCATAGGGACAATAGAGACATGTCCCTACCAAAAGTTTGGATCGACATACTTGTCCCTACTCATAATTGGCTGTGAACAAAATGTTTATAATTTACAATACAGCGTTGTTGCATAAGGAGCTATTTAAACAGTCAGACAGTTAGCAATATAGGAGAATGATTATTATTTTATCCTTTAATATTAAAAACACACTTGTATAAAAGAAACATTATATGATTGTAGGAAACAGATATAATGATGCAGGGCAGCCTCAAGGTGAAGCAGCTGCCCTTCAGTGCTGCATTATGGAAGAAATGTGTTTGGAAAGTTACCATTAAATTAGGGCTGCAACTAATGATTATTTTGTAAATTGATTAATCTGTCTATTATTTTTTCGATGACTCGGTTAATAATCAGATAGCCAAAGGTTCCTTAAAGAAGATTTCTTTTTACAAAATGAAACCAGGTGAAACAGAAACCTTTCCTCTTGAGGAGTTCTAGATGGCGAATATTAAAATATCTTAAATGCAAAATCTTTACATATTTTTTACAATCTTGGCATAATTCCTGTTCTCAGTGGCCCTATACTCCAGTTAATGATTAATAAATTTCTAAATTGGTTGACGATTATATAAATAATCGATTAATATGATTAATTGTTTCAGCCCTAGATAAAATACATGAAATGGGATACACAGAGTAACTACAGCCCAGATGTACAACTTGTGTAGTGATGTTAATATTTTAAATGCTCAGTGTCACTTCCTCTTATAGTTCCATTTCACATGTAAATACAATACACTTATTTGCTGTCCCTTGAATGTATTATTTTGCATGATACAGAGAGAGCATATTAGATAAAAAAAATAAATAAGAGTGTGGTTTACCTCTGTTTACCTCTGCACAATTCTATATCTTCAAAAGAAAACATAGAATGAATACACATATAACAGACATATTTGGACTATATTTGGTTAAACAGGCACCGTCTTAGCACTACACATTCAATAGAGCCAGTGATGCTTTAAACATTGATAAACAGCATCTAGTGTGTGTAGCGCTTATAAGATTTGTATTAATGTAGCAAGAAATGCTGCTGGTCTCTTTAAGAAAAATGTGCCCTGATGCTCATATTTAGCATAAAAAAAGAGCATGCATATTTTTGCATCGAACCAATGACATCAAAACAATGAAACTGAAAACCAATAGTGTCCCTACCAAAGTTGAAATCAAACCTACGCCCTTGACTGTAGTGGTACCAGTGATCAGAGGTGTCAAAAGTATTAATGTTTATTACTCAAGCAGAAGTACAAATCGTACTGTTTAAAAACACTTCTAGAAGAGAATTAACTTAAGTTTTTTTTACACCAGTTGAAGTGTAAAAGTATAATTTTTAAAAGTACTTAAAGTATAAAAGTTATGCAGGAAAAGATTCTTTAAACCTTATACTGGTTTGACACGCTACCCTATTAAAGGAAACACTTTCTATAATTCTTGATGATAACTTTCTTATACATAATTAATTAATTAATACTAATTTTTTAAAATACCAACAGACATAAATTAGCTTAAATGAAACAAAACTAATGAGCCTATTTTTAAAATGTAAGGAGTAGGAAGTAGAGATAATTGCAAAAAATATGTATAAGGATTAGAATTAAAAAGTTGTCTAAAAAATATTTACTCCAGTAAAGTATAGATAAGCAAAATGTCTACTTAGTATTTGTACTTTGTTACTTGACACATCTGCCAGTGAAGATAATCTCACAGGCTATTAATACATTTGCGGACAGGAAAGTTTACACTGTGGTTACCAGGACACATGTATATTACGTGATAAACACCTCTGATAACAGTAAGCAGTTCAATGACCGTACTGCAAAGCATCTCTTTGCTTGTTACATGTCCAGAATTTACCATCAGTCATTAGAAACATATGACCATTAAAACAACATCTCATTATTTGGAGCCATTGTATTGGAATGTGTTAACTTCCAACCAGCTATGTGACACTGAAGCATGATGGAGAGCCCTTCTTCATTTCTGAGAAATAGAGATCAAGTCTTTCTTTTAATGAACATCAAGCAAAACATGTACATGTATATAAAAAAAACACACACAAAAAAAGGAAGTAAGATATGAGAAGAGTAAAGTGTTTCTGGTTCATTTATAACAAAAACATGGTGTGAATTTCCATACGGTACGTTTTGTAGCAAACACAACCAGTGTTAAACCAGCCTAATAATCCCTAATATTCGTCATCATTTTTCTTGTTTTTATCACACATTTTTAATTGTGCAGTCTTCTTTATTACCATCATTTGTATTTCTGCCTATTGTTGTTTTTAATGTATTGGTCTTCCTTTGGTCTTTCTTTTAATAAGCTTTTTTTTTTCCTTTTTAAGCTCTTAGGTTTTTGCATTCAATATGCCTCCTGCCTTTCCTGCATTTAATTTCTCCTCCAACAAAACTGACATATTCACATCATTTTCCTAAGATTTTAAATATTTTTTATATACATATGTATATATCTTTTTTTTTATTTATTTAAGTAAATTTCTTTTTCTCTCTTTTTGTTCAAATGTGACACTGGGGGTGTCTGGGGTGGGATAGCTGTCATTAATATGAATTTTTATGCTTTTTTTGGTTTTCAAAGTTGTAAAGGATGTTAAAGGAAAACTATTTGTTTTATTTATAGTTCATCCATCCGTCCATTTTCTGACACACCTAATCCCATGTGGGGTCGCGAGGGGTGCTGGTGCCTATCTTCAGCTGTCTACGGGCAAGAGGCGGGGTTTATTCATATTTGATGGGGGAAAAAAATAGAGAGAAATAATCAATTTAATGGCTGTTACCATAAAGGACAGGAAAACATATAGCACTTAAACTAAATTTAATCAGAAGAGACTGAATTGCTCTGTTTTGGAAAGAATTTTGAAATTATTGACGAAAAATAATTGAAATTCATCTCAAAAATGGTCAAGTTATATAATTTGTGTGTTATTAGTTTTCAATTTTAAACTAATAATGAAAATACAATGAACTACTGCTTTTTTCTCATTTCTGTTTTTTTTTCAAATGGAGAGAAATTATTTTTCAAGTCAACCTTTTCAGACTACTTTACACATGTAGAAAACGGATAAAGAACATATTATTTAATTTTTATGCTTCCTTTGGGATCTGAAGTAAGAATAGCTTCACAAAGGATTTCCAGTAAAAACAAAGTTTTACAAAGCTAATAAATAAGTAGGCCGGTAAATATAATGTGTCATAATGGCTGTCTTCAACTGTTTATAAACATAAAAAATATTATGATTACTATCAGTTTATTTAAATACAAGGATCTATTAAACTACTTATTGATTGATGAGAATCATTTGAAAGACTAAACTACAGAAACAGTGCAGAGAGGCTCCACTCTGCAATATTTGGGGCAACCAAAGATCCTTTCTTCAAATAACTGATCATTTTGCAAAACTTTTATTTTGGTGTTTAATTTGACACATTCATCCAAATACAACTCTTAAATTTATACATGACTTTATTATTGAATTGCTAGAAACTGGGAGGATTTTGGATTAAAGAAATGATTGAGTGCCTGAACACCTGATTTCTTAGAAACGACTCTGTCAAGGTCGTTTCTTAGAAACTGCGACATATGAATCAAGATGCTATGACCGAAAAAATGTGATTGACAGATATTTAGGTGTGCAGATAACCAAAAAAAAAAACACAGATTCTAAGACAGGATTTCTTTTAAAAAATACAAAAAATTTTCAACATTTTGGGACAATATTGTCTGATGAAGAGTACATTTATATACACGTTTAAGCCAGAATGATTTGACATTTTAAATTTATTTCTATGAAAATATAATATATACAGTATTTATAGTATATTTATATATTTTTTACATTTAAAAATCAAAATAAATTTTATTACTGATCTGAAGCAGTCTGAGAGGTAAGTATCATCACTAAAGGAGGCGAAGGAATAACTGAACATCTGACGCAGAGAGCAGCAGAGGGGGGGAAGCGAAGCATCGCATCAGGGAGACAGTAATGGAAAGCATAGTTTTACCAATGCTGGGCAAGTTATCCCTTACCAAGCAAATAGGGGGAAGATGAAGAGTTCCCTTAAAGAAGAGCATTTACAGAAAATTACACTACATGGATCAACCAAATACAGAAT